GCTTTTCCAAGTCTGAATCTCGTCAATACGTCTCCACGGACTATGACAAGCTTTCCAAGTTAGGTTGCCAACCATCCGAGTTTCAGCTGAATGTAGCTCTAGGAAGTTCCAAAACTAGCTTACTGGTCATAAATCTTTATTGTCATTTGGCTAGTAAAGCTTTGTTGAAGAGACTGATCTGATCCCCAAAACAATCTCTCTTCAAGGGCTGTTTGACATTAATCCATACCACCAGAGTGATACTTTTTCTGCTACAGATTCACACCATAAGCAATCACACTGAATAGCCTCAAGTCTCTTAGCGACTGCAGAAGCTATAAACAGGGAAGGATATAAACAGGGATGGACCAATGCACTTTGAGGAGATTCAAGATCATAGTCGACAAAAGAGTCTTCACAGCATTCTTGCATAGAACACAATCATTCACCATAACTTTTTTGATGTGATTATTAATAGTCAGGATAGACCTTCAGGCAGCTTCTCAAGCAAAAAAAAAACTAATTCTAAGAGAAGCATTTTTCCACCAAATCTGCTTCCATGAGAAAAGGGAACGACACGGAGAGGGGTGGCTGATGTAAACATAAAATGACTTGACTGAAAAGGAACTTTTTGGGCAAAGCATCTGACAGGTTCAGGAAGTTTGTGATAAGTTGTGACCTTAAGGAGCTTAATGCTCAGGGGAGTGGGGAAAAAGCTAATGGTCCCATGAAAGTTGATGAACCTTTCAAGCTTGTTGCTCAAAGTAGAAAAAGCTAGTTTCCCTGATTTGCTCAAAAACACTAGGGGAAAAAAGAGTTTCTGATAAGTTGTTTTGTCTTCAAGCAAGTTATTTGCACTGGGTTTGCCCAAGCTTATTGAGGTGTTCAATTAATAATTGATCCATAGCTGAAGCTGTTGCTTTTTCATCGAAGTTGGTGACAAGTTGTTTTCCTGTTTAACAGACATTTGATATGTGCTCTTTGTTTAATTAAGCCAATGTTCAAATCTTTGTTCAGAGTTCAGACTTGTCAAGATGTAGGTTGAGCTTGTTATGCATGATGATCCATAGGACTTGTCAAGTGTTTCACTTGCTTCAGTTTATCTAAAACAAGTTATAGAGTTAGTTTCTTATACTTTCAAAAAGAAAGGTGAGTTTCTTACATAGTTAATTTTCACATTCTTAGTTTTCAAATTCTTGTTATAGGTATCTTTATTAATACCAAGTGCTATTTTTTCAACATAATATTAAGAGCAATTACATATTAATAGTTTACTCTTATTCTTGTAGAATGACTGTGCATAGCTAACAGCATACTTATATCTTGCTCGTAGATGTTTACCTTTTTCATGTATGGGAAAATTGAACATGTTTTCATTATATACTACTCCATGATTCTGGGTG